AATGTGGTTAACAGGAAACGATTGGGATGATGAACTGTCTCAGAACCTGCAACAGAAAATAGAAAAATGGTTGGTACAATGGAAAGAAGTACAAGGTGTTCAGGTAACCAGCTGTTTGCACCTTGATGCTGAGGTTTGTTCAGTCTCGATTCATACCTTTGTTGATGCATCACAGGATGCATATGGCACCATTGTTTACGCCATCTATACTTACATGGACGGAAAGAAGTCAAGCAGGATAGTTGCTGCAAAGAGTCATGTAGCTCCGTTGAAAGCCTGTAGCATACCACGCCTTGAACTGATGGCAGCTGTACTTGGCCTCAGACTTGTCTCTGAAGTGGTCAAAGTCCTTCAGATTGAGATTGAAACAGTTACCTTCTGGTCAGATAGTAGGAATGTCTTGTGTTGGATAAGAAACAATAGTCGTACTTTCAAACCGTTTGTTGCCAAACAGAGTTGGAGAAATACACTGGACCACAAATCCATCTCAATGGCGACACGTACCATCTGCAGAAAATCCTGCTTATCACTTAACAAGAGGTCTGTCTGTTTCACAACTCATATACAATGACTTATGGTGGTCTGGTCCTACGTTTTTGCTCAGAGATGAAACTGAATGGCCATCTGATAAAGCATTTTCCCTTGACATGATCAATGATGATGAAAGAAGAACGAGCAATGAGCAGGTTGCTCTAGTTTCAATACAGAAATCTGACCTTGAGACGTGGAGACTTGACCCTTCCAGATTCTCCAGCTGGAGAAAATTGACACGTGTGAATGCTTGGATTTTCAGATTCTTGCATAACTGTTCCACGTCAGATGATTACAAAATGAAAGGTGAACTGACGGTAGAGGAAATAGCAGACTCTGAGCACAGAATCATTGCCGGTGCACAGGCGGAAGCATTTTCAATTGAATATGCAACTTTGTTGTCAGGTAGGATGTTGGCTTCCAGTTCCAAACTCCTTACACTTCAGCCACAACTAGATGAAAATGGGGTCATGAGATTGAGTGCACGCTTAGGCGATGCTGAATGTTTGCCACTTGGAGCACGATTTCCTATAATTCTACCTCGTAGAAGTTGGGTGACAAAGCTCATCATAAAGCAGTATCACGAAGATGGTAAACATGTTCTGGGCACAAACCAAACATTGGCTGCAGTGTCATCTAAATACTGGATTATCTCAACACGAGAAGCAATACGTGAATGGGAGAAAGAATGTGCTTGATGTCATAGGGACAAAGCAAAACCTGCCTATCCAATGATGGCTCCGTTACCAAAAATGAGACTTCGAACATCCTTCCGTGCATTCAGCCAGGCTGCTGTTGACTATGCTGGACCTTTCATAACAGTCCAAGGCAGAGGAAAATCACGTCAGAAACGTTATTTGTGTCTATTCACCTGTTTGACTACAAGAGCTGTTCACCTAGAGATGGCATACAGCTTGGACACCAGCGCATTCCTAAATGCGTTTTACCGAATGGTAAATCGAAGAGGTCTACAACAAGATGTCATATCTGACAATGGAACAAACTTTGTTGGTGCCGTCAAAGAACTCAAGGAACTTCTTCACATGCTGGATCAAGATGCTGTTCGGCGTTCCATGGCCAATCGAGGAGTGAAATGGCACTTCAACCCTCCATACTCGCCGTATTTTTTAGGGGTATTCGAGACGATGATAAAATCGGCTAAGCGTGCTATCTTCGCTATCCTGGGGAATGGTGACGTCACAGATGAGGAACTGGAAACGGCATTCACCGGAGCTGAAGCGCTGATCAACTCGAGCCGTCTGACATATCAGTCGACTCATCCCCAAGATGAGATTCTTCTGACTCCGAATCACTTCCTGCATGGCCAGATTGGAGGAATGTTTGCTCCGGAATCCGTAGACACAACCGATTATCACCAAAGGAAGCGCTGGAGACGTATTCAGGAACTGATGAGGCACTTTTGGAAGCGTTGGATGAAGGAATGGCTCCCAGGTCTGAACCCAAGACGGAAATGGCGAACTCCAAGCAGAGACCTGTGGATCGATGATGTTGTGCTTATATCTCCTGACACTCCACGGGGACAGTGGCCACTTGGTAGAATTGTCAAGACATACCCAGGAAGAGATGGACATGTGTGTGTGGTGGATGTACGGATCGGACAATCAGTGATTACTAGAGCAGCAAACAAGATTTGTCCACTGGAGTGGTCAACTGTGAACTGTGATCCGGGATTGAGACTTCGGATAATGTGACTTCGGATAATGTGACTTCGGATAATGTGACTTCGGATAATGTGACTTCGGATAATGTGACTTCATGAACTGACGTCGTGAACAGTGACTTCTTGAAACTGAAATGTGTTGTGAACTGTGACTCTTGAACTGTGACATTGTAAAATGTGATATGAGCATTCACGGATATTCAAGGACTATTGGATTGTTATAATTTCAATTCATTTTGTAAGTATGGTACAGTTTTACAGTAGAACACGGATATAACGAACATGGATATAGCGAAAAAACGGATACAACGAACTGTTAAAAAATCCCCGATTTATCTCCTATATAATATCATATAAAATTTACGTATATAACGAACTCTCTACAGCGAACTAACGGATACAGCGAACTGATGTCTGATCACCGACAAGCCCATTTATCACTAATTAGGGACGTGTATAGCGAACTGAGAAATCTCACTCAGTGTCAAGTGTCACTGACAATTGGCTGTATGCAATCAGCGGTAACATGTAATCTTGTCTGTAAAACAAACATTAAACATATAAATTTTACGAGTAAATGTAAATTGAAAAATGATGAATATGTTTAAATTTTGTACATGTATTTGATAACAATCTTCAGAAAATGTTATGAATTTAATGTTATTAAATGAATGTTGTAAATTGATATCAATTGAATGATCACTGCTAATACAATTAATGCTGCAGTTACGTGTGTATTGTGTTTTGTCTTATCCAAGATGGCGGACATTTCCGAGCGAAAACGTGTATAACGAACAACAGATATAACGAACTGATTTCTCTGATCCCTAGTAGTTCGTTATATCCGTGTTGTACTGTATTTCAATTCATTGCAAAAGCTAGAAGTGTTAGTATTGTGTTGATATTGTATTTATTGTGTTGCCAGGAATCTGTCAAGGAGGGGGGTATGAACAAAAGGAAACAGTTGTTCTTGGTTGGGTTGGTATAGCTCGTCCAAATACACTCGATTAATATGGAAGTGCTCGCCCAAACACACCCGTTGCGCATGTTCTTGTTTTTGGTAAATCTCGTGCGTGTCATGCTGATGTGACGGACCACTACGTTGAACGGGGTAACATGTGGAAGTTGACATTTATTCGTTGTGGGACGAAGACGTCCTCAGAGCTCCAGTCAGGAGATTGCCTTTGCTAATATTAGAATTAACTTCCATTATCCACTTTATAACAGAAAGTGGTCAATTATTCACTTTCGATGAATATATAGAAACATTTCATTTTGGGGCGATTTGGTTAGTGTGGCAATGAAGGTTTGTGTTTCTGTCTTTAGTTTAATTAAAATGTCCGACATGATATTTTTGACTTGTTGTTTACTTAACGGGGAATAACGTGCCTCATTCCCAGTACTTGTGCCCGATTTGCAGCATGTAATAACATGCACTACCCATGTCATATCATCAGCTGGTCTTTCGGGATGCCATAAGTCAGGTAGTGTTTCCACCATGCACCCCTTCAGGACAACACAGCCCATGTTCCATGTGTGTATTGACATCATCCTTGGTAGTGTTTCCACCATGCACCCCTTCAGGACAACACAGCCCATGTTCCATGTGTGTATTGACATCATCCTTGGTAGTGTTGCATCCGACATGCACACCTTCACCTTTACATAATTCTAAATAAGCTGGCATCTAGAAACAGATATTAACAAATCAGTTTATGAAAGTGATACAACTTTCAAAATCCAAAGACGACTAACTCGGGGCAGGATGAAATGCCAGGTAGCAGCAATGTTTCAGTTGGATGGGAATTCCCCCTTGATGGACACCAGGAAGTGACAGCCATCATGGAAGATGGTCAGTGGCTGTGGATGCTGAATGACAGACATTGGATTCAGCTGACATAAACACATGGTGTGCTTTATTCTTCTGAAATATTTTCACTTGATTAACAGTCTACATGTGACACTGTACGGATCAACCTTTACCGATATCTTGTGTTGATCAAAATAGGAAAGATATAAAATGCAGCAATACATCAGTGCTCAAACATTTAAATATCAACAGATCAATTCTAGTTTTGAATCATAACACATAAAAGAAATTATCTACTGTTCTGACAGAAGCAATATTTTTTATCATACTGAAAATAAACATCTTATCCTTCAAGACAGTTTGCAATTAATTTTGTCTCCATCAATATGCTGACCCGCATCTGTTATACATGAGTAAACTATATAACAAAGAAAGGATGGCCAAATATGATTATATATTTGACCTCAGTTCCAAGGTCATTTGCCATGGTCCATCTGTAAGGGCACATTGTTTGTTGTGCTGACAGTCCCATCCTCTGTACCTCCAGGGCTGGCATTTAGGTAAACCTACACTAACCCCTGGATCCAATTTGATTTGCTACGCTACTCAGTCTAATGCACCAATCAGAATGCGAGTTACAAACCAGCCTCAATACTGGGTTGGCAATATCAACAACATGGCGGCCACTCACATTGATTACGATAGAGTTAGCGAAAAATTCAATATTGAAAAAATGACTGACGTGCAAAAGAAAGCCTTAAAAAATCTTTTGGATCGAAGAGATGTCTTCATGTCAACCTCCTTTATCATTTTCTCTTTCCTTATCTCGATGTTTGACTGGTCAGTAAATGTAAACGAAAATGAAGGGAGAATAATTTGTGATTGTGAGAACCATGTGAACAAATCCAGGAATTAGCATAGGTTTATTGAAATGAGAGCCCTGGAGATATACAGGATGGTCCACAATGGGGTACATTGTTTTGCTGTGATGGTCCCCAGTGGGGCACATTGTTTTGCTGTGATGGTCCACAGTGGGGCACATTGTTTTGCTGTGATGGTCCACAGTGGGGCACATTGTTTTGCTGTGATGGTCCACAGTGGGGCACATTGTCTTGCTGTGATGGTCCACAGTGGGGCACATTGTTTTGCTGTGATGGTCCACAGTGGGGCACATTGTTTTGCTGTGATGGTCCACAGTGGGGCACATTGTTTTGCTGTGATGGTCCCCAGTGGGGCACATTGTTTTGCTGTGATGGTCCACAGTGGGGCACATTGTTTTGCTGTGATGGTCCACAGTGGGGCACATATTTTTTCTACTGTGATGGACCACGATAGGGCACATTGTTTTGCTGTGATGGACCACAATGTTTGCTGTGATGGTCCATGATGAAGTACAGTGTTTGCTGTGATGGTCCTTGATGAAGTACAGTGTTTGCTGTGATGGTTCACGATGAAGTACAGTGTTTGCTGTGATGGTCCATGATGAAGTACAGTGTTTGCTGTGATGGTCCATGATGAAGTACAGTGTTTGCTGTGATGGTCCATGATGAAGTACAGTGTTTGCTGTGATGGTCCACGATGAAGTACAGTGTTTGCTGTGATGGTCCATGATGAAGTACAGTGTTTGCTGTGATGGTCCATGATGAAGTACAGTGTTTGCTGTGATGGTCCATGATGAAGTACAGTGTTTGCTGTGATGGTCCACGATGAAGTACAGTGTTTGCTGTGATGGTCCATGATGAAGTACAGTGTTTGCTGTGATGGTCCTTGATGAAGTACAGTGTTTGCTGTGATGGTCCATGATTAAGTACAGTGTTTGCTGTGATGGTCCATGATGAAGTACGGTGTTTGCTGTGATGGTCAATGATGAAGCACAGTGTTTGCTGTGATGGTCCACGATGAAGTACGTTGTTTTGCTGTGATGGTCCACAAAGGAACAAATCCATTCCTCTTCCTCTGATTGAATGCAAAGATGATGTAATGGACGATCGCAAAGCATTCTTCACATCCTCCATTGACTGGTGCCTGAACATGAGACAGAATCCTGAAACAGAAACATTGTCAGTTGAAGTCGGTGTCACAGATGGGTTGCTGCAATAATGACATGGTGACAAACTTTCACAGAAAAACATTATTACCAAACATGCTTCCAACTTAGTAACAGTCATCTAGAGCTTGCTTCAGTAACGAAAACCTCAAAACACATGGAAATGAAGTAAGAACAAAGTTGCAATTCTGGAATTGTACTAGTTCTCTATCCTGAATGGTACTTGCAGTGGGTCTGCTGGGGTAGGGTAAGGTAGCCTGACTGTTTACGTGGGATCGGTTCCCAGGCATCTCGTCTTGGTGTCCCAATCATCCCGTACTGATATAAATGAATTAATAAATAAATAAAATAAAGATGTTTGTTATTTCATTTTATCTTATTTATTGACATTCAATCTGAAATCAGTTAGTACATTTATATCAATTAACACAATAAATATGACTTATATACACATAAATATTTACACATATTCTAAACCTAATATACCCTCATGTTTGTAACCAAGTATGTACCGTCACGTTTGTTTGTTGTTTAACACCGCACTCAGAAATATATATACTCATGTCTGGAGCAGACAATCCAGTGATTGACATAATGAGCATCAATCTACACAATTAGGATACAATGACATTCATCAACCTACTTAGTGAGCCTGACCACCCGATCCCTTTAACTGCCTTTTACGAAAAGCATAGTCGCCACTTACAACAAGCATCGGTTGCTGAATATCAATTTTAACCAGGAACCTTCACATGATGAACCTTCATGTATTCCCCCAGGTTTGTACATTAACGCATGTGCCTTCCTGTATGAACCAGAGTGTGTACCCATGTATGTACCTACATATGTACCAATGTTATAACAGTGTATGTACCATGCTTGAACCAGAGTGTGTACCCATGTATGTACCTACATATGTACCAATGTTATAACAGTGCATGTACCATGCTTGAACCAGTGTGTGTACCCATGTATGTACCTACATATGTACCAATGTTATAACAGTGTATGTACCATGCTTGAACCAGTGTGTGTACCCATGTATGTACCTACATATGTACCAATGTTATAACAGTGTATGTACCATGCTTGAACCAGAGTGTGTACCCATGTATGTACCTACATATGTACCAATGTTATAACAGTGTATGTACCATGCTTGAACCAGTGTGTGTACCCATATAATTACCAATCAAAGTACCAGTGTGCGTACCATGTATGTACCATGGATGTACCAGTGTGTATAACATGCATGTACCAGTGGGTGTACCTATATAATTACCAATCTAAGTACCAGTGTGTATACCATGCATGTACCAGTGGGTGTACCCATATAATTACCAATCTAAGCACTAGTGTGTGTACCAATGCATGTACCAGTAGGTGTACCCATATAATTACCAATCTAAGTACCAGTGTGTATACCATGCATGTACCAGTAGGTGTACCCATATTATTACCAATCTAAGTGTATGTACTAATGCATGTACCAGTAGGTGTACCCATAAAATTACCAATCTAATCACCAGTGTGTGTACCATTGCATGTACCAGTAGGTGTACCCATATAATTACCAATCTAAGTACCAGTGTGTGTACCATTGCATGTACCAGTAGGTGTACCCATATAATTACCAATCTAAGTACCAGTGTGTATACCATGCATGTACCAGTAGGTGTACCCATATAATTACCAATCTAAGTACCAGTGTGTATACCATGCATGTACCAGTAGGTGTACCCATATAATTACCAATCTAAGTACCAGTGTGTATACCATGCATGTACCAGTAGGTGTACCCATATAATTACCAATCTAAGCACCAGTGGGTGTACCATTGCATGTACCAATAGGTGTACCCATATCATTACCAATCTAAGCACCAGTGTATGTACCAATGCATGTACCAGTGGGTGTACCCATATAATTACCAATCTAAGTACCAGTGTGTATACCATGCATGTACCAGTAGGTGTACCCATATAATTACCAATCTGAGCACCAGTGGGTGTACCATTGCATGTACCAGTAGGTGTACCCATATCATTACCAATCTAAGTGTATGTACCAATGCATGTACCAGTGGGTGTACCCATATAATTACCAATCTAAGCACCAGTGTATGTACCATTGCATGTACCAGTAGGTGTACCCATATCATTACCAATCTAAGTGTATGTACCAATGCATGTACCAGTGGGTGTACCCATAAAATTACCAATCTAAGCACCAGTGTATGTACCATTGCATGTACCAGTAGGTGTACCCATATCATTACCAATCTAAGTGTATGTACCAATGCATGTACCAGTGGGTGTACCCATATAATTACCAATCTAAGCACCAGTGTATGTACCATTGCATGTACCAGTAGGTGTACCCATATCATTACCAATCTAAGTGTATGTACCAATGCATGTACCAGTGGGTGTACCCATATTATTACCAATCTAAGCACCAGTGTATGTACCAATGCATGTACCAGTGGGTGTACCCATATAATTACCAATCTAAGTACCAGTGTGTATACCATGCAAGTACCAGTGGGTGTACCCATATAATTACCAATCTAAGTACCAGTGTGTGTACCAATGCATGTACCAGTAGGTGTACCCATATAATTACCAAACTAAGTGTATGTACCAATGCATGTACCAGTAGGTGTACCCATATATTTACCAGTCTAAGTGTATGTACCAATGCATGTACAAAATACCTTCAGAATGTCCAGGCCGCCTCTACAGAAGAGTCCTTCTTCAAACTTGCAATCAGTTTTTGTTTGAGTTGACATCGAGCACTAGTTATTGACCGTGTTAAAACTCCACGTATTTCAGCCTTGGGACATTCACTTCTACTTAAACAAAAGCCTGCAACAAAGAAGAACCTTCCTTCACACATAATAACATAATTACAAATCATGAACTTGCCATGGATACAATTAAATAATAAAATGTAGTTGACCTCACAGAAGAGATGCTCTGTGAAATGTCACAGAAAGAAATGTGCATATTTATAATGCGACAAATCCATGCCATAAAGCATTCCCAAAGCGCTCCATTTTTATCACAACCCAAGCTGCCTGTGAGTTGCACACCATTAACATGGGGAGTACACAACCCAAGCTGCCTGTGAGTTGCACACCATTAACATGGGAGGTATACAACCCAAGCTGCCTGTGAGTTGCACACCATTAACATGGGGAGTACACAACCCAAGCTGCCTGTGAGTTGCACACCATTTACATGGGGAGTACACAACCCAAGCTGCCTGTGAGTTGCTGGAAGGGGACCAGCCAGATTACCTTCTCATCCTACCGCGTACCCATTCACTGCTGGGTGAACAGAGGCAAATTTCAACCAAAGTCACATGGCTAAGGAGACCCACAATTTGTCAATATCAAAGCAATATTAGAAAAGAACAAGATAGAAATGGGTCATTCATTGTAATCATTATCACACATCTAATTAGAGAGTGTGTGAAAGTTGTGAGCCAACAAAACAAGAATATAAATGTGGGTGAGAGTGTTGAATCTAGGGACGACTTAATTTAATTTCTAGGGAGATTTTTCTCGTCACTAGGCTGAGAAGCAGGATGATAAAAATGCTGCTGTCAGGATTGATTTGTTATAAAACTAAAAGATGTTGAGAAGAATATTTTAATCAAATATAGCAATTCTTTTCTCTGTTTTCTTTGTAAATTAAGGGTGACTCATTTGTAAAAATTGTTTACAATCCAATCCTTCAGAAGTAACAGACACGTGCAGCAGAACATCAAAGCTTAACCAGCAGTGAAAATCCCCACCTGTGATGGCATCAATCACTGTTTTATCCAGCCCGCGGAATTTACTGTACTGAGTGTCGGACAGGGAGCTGTTGGCCAGCTCTTGCCGGGTGTAGAACAAGCCCAGCAGGTAGCGTGCAGACGGACAGGCATTACGGAAAGGCTGACCATACCGGACCTCAACCTTCACCTTCCTTTCTGCTATTGTCATCTGGACGTGACTAACATAGACATTCGAGCCTGGAGTCAGCTCTATCAGCTGAAACATCAAACGTTCATATATCAACATTTCTCTACCAACTGAAACATCACACATACATGTATCAACATTTCTCTACCAACTGAAACATCACACATACATATATCAACATTTCTCTACCAACTGAAACATCACACGGACATATCAACATTTCTCCACCAACTGAAACATCACACATACATATATCAACATTTCTCTACAAACTGAAACATCACATGTAGATATCAACATTTCTCTACCAACTGAAACATCACACGTACATATATCAACATTTCTCTACCAACTGAAACATCAGAGGTGTATCAACAATTCTTTTCCAGCTGATTCTCTGATATGACATTAGCATCAAAACATAACAATCAATTCATTTCAGAACCTCCACTGAAACCAGGCTACTGATGGCAAATATTAAGACTCATATTGGCCTATGGTAAATCCTCTGCCTGTACACAGCAGTGCCAGAAGGAACAGACTGGGATTTGCTGCTCCACATACCTGCAGGGCCTGTGCCTGTTGCTGTGTGTAGATGCCAGGTCGACCAGGGAGGACGACTGCATCAGTACCTGCAAGGGCAAGGTCAGGGCTGGTCAAGTCAGAGTCATATACATTTCTAGCTGACAGTCAAATAGTAATATATCTAACATAACTGTTCTTGGACATGTGACAGACTGGATGTAATAGTGATTCCATGGTATCATTAGACCACTATTATCTGGGTTGGGACAAAGACATCATCAGGTGTCATATAACCATGTGGGGAATCAAACCCAGGACTCACAGCATAACCAGCAGCCCATGTGTCTAGCACAAGGCTACCCACCCACCCCGTCAAACAATGTTCTCTATGATGACTACAAAATCAATACTTCTAATTCTATCCTGAACATATAACTTGGCAAGGCACAGCAGGAAAGTGAATCAACTGATGCTTTTCTTCCAGAGATATGCCGATATATACCCTGGACTGATTTGCCACCAGAACATATTTTCAGAAGTGACGTCACTATCTCAATCCCAACTACCACTAACCTAACACAGAACATGAAATCAACCACCACTCAAAATGTCTCTTCTTGACGTGAGTTTGGCAAAAGATTCTCATTCGAAATCACAGACTACAGTTTCTTTAACTGAAAGAGAAAACTGTTATGTATTCACTCTCTGCTGGTAAAGATATTTTTTTCTGAGTATTAAGGCAGGGGAGGGAAGTCCACAGTTGTATTTGAGAAGGCACGTTGAATACTGCTGATATTGGTGCTTGTTTCCATGACAAAATGTGATTGGATGACTATTTTTAGAGTTTGTGTTATTTGACTCCAAATGAAGCTGTGATGGTGACAGGCCACTGTACTTATCAGAACAGAATGGAGACATACTACACTGGATCATCATGGTGCTGTCAGATCCAGTCATTGTATGCTGGGACAGATACCACATACATTGTGTACTGCCATGGTATTGTGTTGTGCGAAGTAACAAATACTACATTGTTATTCTATAGTAACAGATACGACATTATTGTGTTATGTTATTATAACAGAAGCTCTATTGTCATGCTGTAGTAACAGAAAATACATTATTGTTATGCTATAGTAACAGATACATTATTGTGTTGTTACAGTAATATATGCATTGTGTTATGCAAAAGTAACAGATACTACAACATTGTGTTATGCAATAGTAACATATACTGCATTACTGTTATGTTATAGTAACAGATACTACATTGTGTATGCTATAGTAACAGATACTGCATTATTTTTATGTTATAGTAACATGCATTATTGTGTTATGCAACAGTAACAGATACTACATTATTGTGTTATGCAATAGTAAGAGATACATTATTGTGTTAAGGTAACATAACAGATTTTACATTGTGTTATGTAATAGTAACAGATACTACATTACTGTGATGCTATAGTAACAATGCGTTATTGTAACATGTTACAGTAACAGATGTATTATTGTTATGTTATTGTAACATATACTACATTATTGTGTTATGCAATAGTAACAGATACTACATTATTGTGTTGTTATAGTAACAGATCCATTATTGTGAAATGTTACAGTAACAGATGCATTATTGTGCTATGCAATAGTAAGAAATACATTACTGCATTAAGCTATTGATACTACATTGTGTTATGGTGAAGTAACAGATACTATATTATTGTGTTATGCTTTAGATGAATGATATATGGGTCCAGGGGTATATTATAATGGGAAGGAGATATAATATACTCAACAACAAAAGTTCCTATGACTCCAATATTTTAGTGTTATTTTTCAAACAAGTAAAAGTTTGGTTTTCAATATTGTAGTACATGTATGGAATCAAGTCACAAAAATGCAACTGCTTCAGAAAAGCATGCATTCCATGCAAAAGTTGACCTTTATGCAAGCCCCATGCATTTCACTACCCAAGAATGGGTATAAAAACATGTGCGTTAACAGGATTCCTTATGCATTGTTTAGCATCGTGCTGACAACAACCACTCAGAAAAACAACAAAATTACGCAATTATTCAACATTACGTAATGCCACGCCTGTCCGAAAATGAGCGTCTGCGAGCCATTGGTATGCTTGAAGCAGGATCGAGTCAACGTGATGTTGCAAGACAATTTAACGTCCACAGAAACAACATTTGGTGTTTATGGCAACAGACGAATGCAGTCAGAGACCATCCTCGGAGTGGCAGGCCACGTGTAACCAATAATCGACAAGACAACAGAATTCGAACAACACACCTACGAAATCGATTCCAGCCAGCAACAGTGACTGCAAAAAGCATCCCTGGCCTTCGGCGAATATCTTCACAAACCATACGTCGTCGCCTCAGATGTGCAGGGATTGTCACCAGAAGACCCGCCAGACGTCCCATTTTGACAGGAAATCACTGCCAAGCACGTCTACAGTGGTGCAGACAGCTTCTGGACGGCCATGCAGTGGAGACAAGTTCTATTCACTGACGAGTATCGTTTTCACCTCAGCCACAGCGATGGACGGATTCGAGTGTACTGACGTCAAGGTGAACGTTACATCAATCATTGTGTCATGGAAGATCGGTTCTGGGGAGGCAGCGTAATGGTATGGAGTGGGATTACAGCAAGACAGAGGACCCGTTTGATAGACGAGATCATCGGCCCTGTTGTTCTACCTGTTTTGCAGTACCGTCATGGCCCAGGCATTACCTTTTAACATGACAACGCCTGGCCTTATATTGCTCAACTTGTTCAGGATTCTCTTCAACAAAACAACGTGAATGTCATCCCCTGGCCAGATCACTCCCCTGATCTCTCACCAATCGAGCACATGTGGGATGAGATGGATCGGCGCCCTCGACATCAACCACTTGTTCCACAGACACTCCAGGAACTTCGAAACATGCTCCAGCAGATATGGACAGGTATCCCACAGGACTTTGTGCGATGCCTGGTCCATTCCATGAGACGAAGATGTGTTGCTTGCATCGCAACCAGAGGTGGACACACACGCTAATGATTTGTAAATTGACATTTTGGCATGTTCATGTTTTTTTATGAAAAAAGAAATTTTCTGAAGTCAGAATGGCAAATTAAACCATTTGAACACTTACAGGAGTCTTTCATCTGTTGCAAACCGAAATTGTTTCAGATTTGGTAAAAAACATAACTTTGCATTAACTCTTATTCAATCTCACAGGAACTTTTGTTGTTCAGTATATGGATAATTGAGGATCTTTTAGATCCATTGATGACGTTATTGTGATGCCGTAACAGATCTTATATTATTGTGTTATGGTAACAGATGCGATGTTATTAAGTTCTGCGAAGTTAATAGCTGTTTTGTGTAACATAATATCTTGGGACAAAACCCCAGTACTTGACATGAAAAACTTTTCAAAGCTGAGTTGTGATGAAAGCTGGTTGTAATTGGCATCAAACTGCTTCCATCCTCCAGAAGTTACACATTTTCAAACCTGGGCGACACCTGGAGACTGCTGATCCTCACCAGTGAAACCAGGTAAACCAGTGTGCACAATAGTCAGCTGCCTATGCCCAGTAATACTTCACATGCCTATTCCATCTGTTAATCAGTTGTATTGCATATTTGTATATTGATCCAACCTTGTGTAAACATATGATCACGAATATATAAATTAAGACTTTAAGCTTACTCAGCATTATCCTGATGCTGGGGCAAGAAGTAGCTCCAAACAGTCGATACAAAGAAAAAAGGAAGTTGTTATTCATGTTCTTCCAGCTTCTAAATTCCTATCAAAGACAGCAACCAATCCAGTAATGATTTTCACCTTTATTTACACAGCTGATTACCACATTCATGAACATTATTTCAAACATTCCGAAACCATTTGTATCTAAAACAACTAAGGAGATAGTATAATTCCTTGATGCCAATGGTGCTAAGCATGTTGAGACCTCACATTGCCTAGCCATGAGACCTTCCCCCAGGTACACCATGCTGCTGGTTGTCCATGTTGAGACCTCACATTGCCTAGCCATGAGACCTTCCCCCAGGTACACTAGCTGCTGGTTGTCCATGTTGAGACCTCACATTGCCTAGCCATGAGACCTTCCCCCAGGTACACCATGCTGCTGGTTGTCCATGTTGAGACCTCACATTGCCTAGCCATGAGACCTTCCCCCAGGTACACCATGCTGCTGGTTGTCCACCATGTTGAGACCTCACATTGCCTAGCCATGAGACCTTCCCCCAGGTACACCATGCTGCTGGTTGTCCATGTTGAGACCTCACATTGCCTAGCCATGAGACCTTCCCCCAGGTACACCATGCTGCTGGTTGTCCATGTTGAGACCTCACATTGCCTAGCCATGAGACCTTCCCCCAGGTACACCATGCTGCTGGTTGTCCACCATGTTGAGACCTCACATTGCCTAGCCATGAGACCTTCCCCCAGGTACACCATGCTGCTGGTTGTCCATGTTGAGACCTCACATTGCCTAGCCATGAGACCTTCCCCCAGGTACACCATGCTGCTGGTTGTCCACCATGTTGAGACCTCACATTGCCTAGCCATGAGACCTTCCCCCAGGTACACCATGCTGCTGGTTGTCCATGTTGAGACCTCACATTGCCTAGCCATGAGACCTTCCCCCAGGTACACCATGCTGCTGGTTGTCCATGTTGAGACCTCACATTGCCTAGCCATGAGATCTTCCCCCAGGTACACCATGCTGCTGGTTGTCCACCATGTTGAGACCTCACATTGCCTAGCCATGAGACCTTCCCCCAGGTACACCATGCTGCTGGTTGTCCACCATGTTGAGACCTCACATTGCCTAGCCATGAGACCTTCCCCCAGGTACACCATGCTGCTGGTTGTCCATGTTGAGACCTCACATTGCCTAGCCATGAGACCTTCCCCCAGGTACACCATGCTGCTGGTTGTCCACCATGTTGAGACCTCACATTGCCTAGCCATGAGACCTTCCCCCAGGTACACCATGCTGCTGGTTGTCCACCATGTTGAGACCTCACATTGCCTAGCCATGAGACCTCCCCCCAGGTACACCATGCTGCTGGTTGTCCACCATG